GTGATTGATTTTGCTTGTCATTTTTGCAGGATCATCATCATGCTGCTGCCCTTTTTCACTCTCCCTTTCCACATCATTTGGCCTTCATCATTTCCTGTCTTGTAGCAGTATTCTCACCTTTTTTAAAATTGTAATAATTTTTTATGCATTAATTTTTGACTGGTTTTAATGATCAATTGTTCATTAGTGTTCTGTTGCTCTGTTATATTGAATTATTGCTACTGTTTTAGCATGGTTTACACAATAAACCTTTATTGTGAAGTTAAAGTTTCAGTTTCTTTATTTTTCTTGTACGTCTTGAACAGTTAAAATAACACTTGTGCAATTTTTGAACATTTTTTACCCATTATAAAGTAGCACTATTAAATTAAATAAAATAACATTTAATAACTGTAAAATACTATACAGTAATAATGAAAGTAACATTAAAATACCGTAGTTCTTCATGGTAAAAATGTACAATAAAATACTGTTTTCAGTTTTGCAGTATGTGCACCACTACTGTAATTAGTGTTACAGTAAAAATCAACAACAGTAAAATGATGTATTACATTTTACAGTAAATTTAATACTAATGTAATTAGTATTACAGTAATGTTACTGTTTTATGAAATACATCAGCTACTGGATAATTGTTGCCAGTAACTTACTGTTAATTTAACAAGAAATCGTTTACAGTGTAGGCTTACAGATCGACACAGATCAAAAGGGTTATATTTAAATACACTATTAAAATAAATGTAACTTTAAAAACCTCAAAAGATATTTTTAGAATTAATCAAATGTTGTAATAATACTTTTTGCTTTTTGTATTTACCCATAAATTAAACTTTTCTATACCTACTATTCTTAATTTTACCTTATTAGGCTAACAATGAGGGGGAAAAGTGTGTGCTTTATGTAAATAGCCTATAATTTTAGGAAGTTAAATTGTTTAGATAAATAGTTTATTTTATTTATTTATTTTTTGTTATACCCTATTTAAGAACCATGACATTGTACATACAATAGATCTACTTAGCACGAACAATTAGTGTGTGATTATTACCTTGAAAAAGGTGTGACTGCGTGGTTAATTCTTGTCCGAATTTCTTCAACTGATCGATAAAGCTTACAGCGCCTTCTATCGGGGAAAATGATCACTGCACGATTGTTCTGGGAATAATTTGCATTAATACATCCCACAAACTTTTTAAGACACACAATCCTCCAAGTCGGTAAGCTAGGTTTCGAAGTGGAAGGGACTTTTGCATGTTGACCTTAATCTTAAAGGGACATTTCACCCAAAAATTATAATGTGCTCACTATTCACTCACCCTCAAGTGGTCCCAAACCTAGTTTTTTTCTTAGTTTAACATAAAAATAAATATTTTGCAGAAAGCAGAAAACCTGTAACCCTTGAACTTCATAGTAGAAACATACAATGAAAGTCTATGGGTACAGGTTTTTAGCATTCTTCAAAATATCTCCATATGTGTTTAAAAGAGCAAAGATCTCATAAATTTTTAAGTAAGTAAAAGGTGAGACAGAATTGTAATTTTTGACTGAACTATACCTTTATTTAATAAATTGTTTATTGGTACTACTAATATTTGTGAAATACACTATTGTCAGTTGTGTACACTATTTATTAACTATATGTAGGCCGCAGCCTAGACCGTGTGTCCTGAAACGTGTGTTGGTCTGCAGGTTTGCAGCTGGATATTATTGCTGTTCCATGAAAAGCTATTCTAGTGCATATAAGTTTTCCATTCGTTGTCTTTTCAGCTTAGTCCCTTCCCTTTTAATAATCAGGGGTCGCCACAGCAGAATGAACCACCAACTTATCCAGCATATGTTTTACTCAGCAGATGCCCTTCAACCGAACACTGGGAAACACCCACACACTCTTGCATTCACACACATACTTACGGCCAATTTAGCTTATTCAATTCACCTATACCTGTGGAGAAACCCACGTGTGAACAGAAAGGACCTGACCCAGCCGGGGCTCGAACAGCGACCTTCTTGCTATGAGTCAATCATGCTATCCACGGCCACATGTTTTCATATATTTAAAATGTTCTTGGAAAAAAATTGAATTTGGAATTAGTTATAAAGGAACATATTTCTTTCAAATGATTAAATTGCTTTATTATCATAAAATTTTATAAATTTGTGATATTTGTGTTCAAGGGTTGATTGCAGTAGAAACTGACAGCAGCGTAATAATGAAAAAAGACAGATCACCGCTAGATAGCGCACTATGTTTAAAAGAAAGTTTCCAGTTTGTCTCATATTTGCATACTAATTTATTGATTTACCGCTGTCCTACTTTTCAATTAAAATATAAATTGATCTATTTTCTGTCTGTATTCAAAATAATTGTAATCGGTACTTTAATTTTGCAGGTTTTATGCATATTCCTTTGTTATATTGTGCATATTGTCAAGACCCCTATCCATTTTCCATTTAAGAGATTTGTTTTGGGTAGAAATGGACTCCCTGCACAAGTGAAGGCGTCCGATGACTCTCACATCGATTACAATCACATGCTAATTGAGATTCATTGCAAAAAAAATGACTTCACTGCTGCTGACACCACTCTAACTATTGTCTGTCTCTGTGACAGTGAAGGGAGGAGGAAAAATGGCATCTCTCATTGGAGCACTGTCTAAAGCAATTTTTGTCACTTTACATTTTCTCACTCTCCCCGTTTTATGTACATACAGTATATTCACACGCTTCATTTTGTCTCACTCACTAATAGATAATATTGGTAGTGCAATATGCAAATATAATAAGAATATAATACATTTTAATATAATATAGTATGATATAATATAACACGTATACTATAATATAATAAATAAAATATAATATATATTTATAATACATAATATATATATATAATACATATAATATAATATAGTTCATTTTCTTGTAGGCTTAGTCCATTTATTAATCCGTGGTCGCCACAGCGTAATGAACTGCCAACTTATCCAGCACATTTTTATGCAGTGCAACCCATCTCTGGGAAACATCACACACACACCCATATACTACGGACAATTTAGCTTACCCAATTCACCTGTACCGCATGTCTTTCGACTGTGGGGGAAACCCACGCGAACGCAGGGAGAACATGCAAACTCCACACAGAAACGTCAACTGAGCCGAGACTCAAACCAGCGACCCAGCGACCTTCTTGCTGTGAGGCGACAGCACTACCTACTGCGCCACTGCTTCGCCCATATAATATAATATAATATAATATAATATAATATAATATAATATAATATAATATAATATAATATAATATACCATTTAATGGTATGCAAAATTCTGCATCAGATATTTATTTATTTGTTGATTTATATATACAGTGCTCAGCATATACGAGTACACCCCATTTTGAAAATGAATATTTTTATCCATTTCTCAGTGAATATGGGTAATAAAAATTGGTGCATTTGAACAAAACTGATGTATTAAACAGATATGTGTGTTGAAATACTATTTTAACCACAGAATATCTTTGGAAAGATAATACATTTAAATTCATGCAAAATATTGCAAAACAAATGTACAAATTGCTACATTTCAACAAAATTGGGTGTATTTTTGTTTGTCTTGATTTATGCTATTTTTGAAAATTAGGTTTAATATTTTTCCCTAACATAAATTTGGGCTACTAATTTTTGAACCATTATTGTAAGTTATTTGGTTAGATTAGCTCTAGATTTGGCTTCAGTAAACTAAACTAATACAAAATGTGAAAAGTCAAATGCTTAATGCACTGACAAATATTTAAACAATATCTTTTATATGTTTTACTTTTATATGTTTTTTTTACTTTTATTATTTTTGACAAGTTTACTGGCCGTTCTTTAAGGATACTATATGCCTTGTAAATTTAAAATGTATTGAATGTAGTGTAGTAAATTATATTACATACGTATTCATATGCAGTATTTTTATAAAATGCAAATAATATAAAGAAACATTATCATAGCTACTTTAAACTTAGAGAACTTTAATTTAGTTAATATTTTATTCTCTTCAAATATTTTTAATTTATTATAATTAAAAAAAACATGTAATATACATTAAATGTATTCAGAGTTTTCTATTTTATTTTTGGGTGATAAATAATTTTTGATTTCTTCATGTTTACCTTTGCTCTCCAAGGTTACATCCTTAGTTCTATTGTAGTAAAGGTCGCTGGTAAGGGCGATTAAGTGGTAATCCTATACCAGAAACAGTAGGCCTATGCCAGATAACATGCAGAAACATAATCTGTGGAAACACTTTCTAACAACAAGTTTATAGTTTGAGCACGTTGGTTAAAATAATAGAGTTATTTTGGGATTTCATTAATATTAGTTTATTTTCGGACAGTTCACCCAAACTGGTAATTTTATAATCTCAGTCTAATGTTTTACAAAACCCATAACCATGAACAATAACATTTTGTTATCCAATTAGGATGATAGTACACTAAATAAAAAAAATAAAAAATGATGGGTGAAGTACATGGCTAAAAATTAATTGACAACATAAGATTATCTCAGAAAAGAGCTATTAAAAAATAGGCCCATTGCTCAAATAAAATAATAACGCTTAACCAGAGCTTACAAAACAGGAGAAATATTACAATATACTCATAAATTCATATTAGCCTGTATGGCATAATAACCATACATATTTAATGTATGTAAGATTTAGCATAAAATAACCGCGCTGGTTGTGTTTACATAATCCTGCAATAAATTCGAATCCTTCAGTGAGAATAAACAAACGATAAAGCAATTAAACCGCTTCTGAAGGCGTTATACTCGGCCGCTTCGTTACTACAGCAGTCGCGTTTCAAATTCTACCGAGTCCCCTTACAAGAGAGCACTTGTATGCGCGTTCACGAACTTCGTTCAAACGGCCAAATGTTATCTAGGTAGAACGCGTGCTGCGCTTTGAAACGCAGCCCTTGTGTGCTGTGGATGGGAATGTATCCCAGCATGCTTGACAGTCAGCGACATGAACAGGGAAGGATGATGAAGCTAAGATGGCAGCGCTACTAGGGGTGCTGTCTTTACGGGGTCAAGAAAAACAGCAGGAATAAACGCAGAGCACGGACGTCAGCTCGCGCATTTGAGTTATTTCACTTCGGCCAATTGAACGTGGTTGGATCGCCTGCAATCGGGGAAATAACGGTTGATTCGGCCGATCCGGCGCAGGAAGGGACGCGTATTTCGCAGTCGCAGCAGAGCGGCTAACCGTAAACGTCGTTTCAATCGGGGATACTCGGATGTAATTCGCCGGGCGTTTTGCGGGTTTGCGGAGAGGATTTATGGAGTGCGACTGGGACTTTTAGCTCTGTTGATTGACAGTGTAATCTAATATATGCGTTGTTCCCCTAAACGATGATGTGTGCTGCTGCGGCAGCGGGTGCCGGTGGAAGCGGGATTCTGTCCTCCTCATCCCACTCCATGGGGCTGGGTGTCAGGGTCATCCCCGGAGCTGGAAACGATTTCGCACCGATCGGATCAGGGATGGGCTCCTGTCCCGTTGTAGGGGCCCGCTCGGATTGTCGGAGCCGCTACCAGCTTCTTCTCTCAGGGCGAGCACTGGCGGAGCGGTACCGGAGGATTTACACCACCGCGATCAACGACAAAGAGCAGGGGCTCAACCTCGGCAGGTGGGTCTGATTTACCGGCTCGGTTCTGGACGAGAAACAGGGTGCGATGGCGTGCAGCTGGATCTGTTTGTAAACAAAACCCATTGGGTTATACATGAGCGGCTCGTTTGAGCCCAAACAGCAGTAGTTGTTAGCATGCTGCTAACTTCCTTAGCGAGATCGCATTAGCTAGCGCAGCTTAAACATTCGTTTCATTTTATCCAGGTCAATGGAAAAGCTCAGTTTGTGTCTCTTTTCATTTGTGCACCCTTTAAAAACAGCTTCGCCGCGCTGTCATAGACAGCAATGTTATTCTAAAGCTGCTTTCAAAACCAGATCGATACCTATAGCTGTTAACCAGCTGCTTTGACTCGTAGCGAAGTTGTGCTAATAGGACGTGGCTAAATGAATTTGTGATTATAGCTACACTGGCTTTAATGTGTTCCACAAAAAGGAAGCCTAAAACCTTATAAATCAATTGTATTTACTTTAATACTCGCGTAAATATTGCCATACTACTGGCAAATTGTATATTTCAGCCGCCCTTAATAAATTGCATTGTTTTACCTGATTGATATTAATAACCAGCTACTTTATATTATGAAACTGTTACCAATTCAACGATATCATACATGTAGTATGGCATATTCAGAACAGCAGTCGTGTGTCTCATTAATGCGAAGGGCTGGGTTCTGTTTTGCCTGACGTCACCCTGCTGTAGAGAGAGACACACACACACAAACTTGACTTGATTTACCTCAGGTCAATTTGTTATTTGTGATCTTACTGTACAAATCATTACAGTTTATTTTCATGTTCTTTGACAGTGTCTTAAATAGTCGTTTTCAGTTACATTTGCAGAAAGAATACATTATTTTACAAAAGTCTATTTTGCATTTTATTCAGCTATATTTAGAAATTGGAGCATTTCTTTCTTATTAATTGCATATTTATCAGATTCAATAAATAAAGCAAACTCATTAGTAAGATTTAGAGATGTCAAGTTTTTTTTTAATGTGCATGAAATCACCAAAACAATTCGTTTTTTTTTTGTTTTAAAAACAAAAAGGACTTCATGACCAGAGTTTTGTTAAAATATTTTGATATTTTACATTTTTTCTAGTATTAGATTTTGCAAAAACATTCTAATTACTGTATTGTTAATTGATTTTTCTGCTATTTAATTATCAGGATTTATGTATTTGACCAAAACATTCCTGCTTGGTTATATTCAGCTGCTAATGAAATTAAACAGTAGATTAGGATTCCTAATTTACAGTTATAAAATATTTAATGCAAAAATCAAACATTGTATTTAAGGCTTTCATAGTGTACACTGATGCCATCCACTTATGATATCACCAGCGTTGATAGCATGCAAAGTGCTCTGAACCGTTCAACGCCCCTCCCAACCTTCAGGCCCTTCATCACAAACAGCCTCTGTGCTTTCACTTTTCGCTGCAAATAATCAGCTACTGTTGTTCTATTGTTTACTGCTCTACACAAGCACTTCAACACGGTTCCAACATAAGGTTCTAATATAACAGCACCTTCGCACGGCTCTTCTGCTGAAAATTAAATTAGGATCGCCCGCTGTAGGGTTTGGGCTATTTACAAATGCCCATGTTTCACATACAGTGTCATTTTACAGTGTTTAGGCATATTTAAATAGATGTAGGAAGACCAACAATTGCTTTATTGATATTTAACATTTGCTGGTTGAGCTCAAGTCACTTTACTGTAAAATACATGCTTATTAAAAATGCATGTTGAAACCACAAGTTACAAGGATGAATACATGTTCAGCTGAGCTATTAAGATATGTGACATATGACATATATAATGCCCTATCATTCACCCGGCGCAATGTGGCGGGAGGCACGACGTAGTTGTTGTGTGCTAGTTTCAACTTGGCGCAAGAGTCGTTTTGACGTTTTGCGGCATGCTGTTTAAATAGCAAATGCATTTGCGCCCATATTTGCGCCCATAGGCGTTCTGGTCTAAAAAGGAAGACGTGTTGAGGCGTATTGCTGGCGTCTTGCTATTTTGAGAAACTATAATATACTTTTCAATAGACCAGAACAAAGCCAGTCTATTGTCCAGCACAGAGCGCGTTAGTTGTGCACCTCGCTTACACACTGCTTATTACATACAAGATGTAAAGCAATATGCAAATATCTTAACCTATGAAAAATAATTAAGATATTAATGATGTATATATATATATATACACACACACACACACACACAACAGTTCTGTCTAGTTCTCAAATTTTATTGACTGATAGCCATGATATATTTAAGTAATATCAGCACCCGTACAGCCTCTTTACCCGTTGTGTATTACTCCGCCCACATACAGCCAGCAAAAAGCAGACACTACAGATCCAAAGTTTAAAAGATGCTTGCTCAGCTGTTGAACTGTCAGCTTATGTTTTGAATCCAATGCAGAAGAAAGTAGTTCCTCATACAAAAAGGTTTTTGAGACTCTTCATGTTTGATTTAGTTTTTTAATACACAATTATGCCGTCAAACTGTTGTATAAATGCAATATCACACTCGTAGCAGTGCGATATGGCTGTATATCGGCACTGGTGAGGGCACTAAGGCACTCGGCCTGCGGCCTCGAGCCAAGGCACGCCTCTCACCAGTGCCGATATATAGCCATATCGCATTGCTACGAGTGTGATATTGCTCATATATATATATATATATATATATATATATATATATATATATATATATATATATATATATATATATATATATATATATATAACCATTCTTTCAGGCTTTTTATATATTTTTTTACTAAAGAAAAGCTCAGATTTGCCCAACTGTCAGGTTTCAGACCATATAGGGCATAACATGTGTATTTGGATATAACTCAGTTTTTTGAACGCACTTCGTTTATATTGTTCATTTATTAATTTGCTGGAAATTAGAACTGAATTTAGAAATAGTTTTGAAACAAATCTTTGCGATTAACAAACGAAATTAATGAATTATTTATAGGCTAATTGATGTCTGTGTGTACAAGGTTTCCTTATCCATGAGAGTGAAAGTAGATAATGAGTGGCCTTATCGCTCATTCTCGCGCTGTAGATGCTCTGTTTAACTGTTTCTTGCTAGTGAAACGCTCAGTTTTTCCACTTGCAAAGTGGTCATGTAAATAGCAAATGCACCATGGCTGGCTCTTAAAGGGAATGGGAGATGAGACTCTTGATTGGTTTATTCTCAAAACACACCTATAACTCATTAAGAAAACAAGCTCTTAGACCATGCGCCATGGCTCAAAGCAGATTTTTTCCATCCTTATATTAGCAAAAGTGGATTTTATAATGCCCTGAATGCGTTTGCGCCCTGCGCTGTGCACTTTGCGCATGGATCATCAAAATAGAGCCCTAAGTGTATTACAGTGAAAGCCTGATAATACTGAGTGGGGCTGCACAATATTGTTTCAGCATCGATATCGCAATGTGCGCTTCCACAATATATGCATCACAAGATATGCAATGTTGAGTCTGAATTATAGTTTATTTATATTATAAAGTCACTTCTAAGTTTAACCATAATAGAGTGACAATTTAATATTCGTGCACAAAAATTGAACATGTTTGGAGGTATAGCAAAGATTAATTATATTTAATTATTTATACAGAATTTATGCAAAACTGTAAATTTTAGACTTGTTTCTAGACCAAATATCCACATTTCAATGCAAAAACAAGATTTTTTTATTCTGTTGGCAAGTACTTTTGCTTCTTTTAAGGAAAAACTATTAATTTTGATGTATAAACAGAACAAAATTTTTACTTGATCTAGAACGAGACAAAGCAAAATAAGAAAAGCATATTTTACGTTGTGATTGGTCAATTTCTGTACTTGAATACTGTTAGACTCCCCAGAAAACTATCAAATACAACTATTCAAATCTTGTGAAACTTTGTTATTCATATCGCAAAATTTATTGCAGAAAAATAAAATATTGCAATATGAGATTTTTTCAATATCGTGCAATTTTAAAATATTAAATGTTGCAATTAAATTTGGTTGTTATCCAGATGAAATAATTGAAGTAGAAATTGAATGAAATAAAAAAAAACTATTTGCATTAATATGAAAAATTTATGAAAAGAACTAAATATATAAACATTAAATGAACGCTAATGTAGCAATGCATAGTAGCGTTGTTGCAGCAGGTAATTAAAGAACAATTAACATAAAATGATAATTATGATAATGATAATAAGTCAAACCTAAAATTAAACTAAAGATAAAATGAAACAGAATATAAAAATGAAAAATGTGTGTATACAAACATAAAGCTAAACTTTATATAATTGGTGAAATATTTTCCTTTTATTGTCAGCAAAGAAATTCAGTAACAATGCTAACATTCATTCAGTGTATCGCTCAGCCCTAAAAACACTAATAAAACAGTCCATTCACTGTGTCTTATTTATTTTGGACACTAAATTGCCAACTATTATTTGTTAACTGGCAGTTTCAGGGTGAAGGATATCTACACACTCTCAATATATCAAACTCTACAGTCTTCCAGATGAAAAAATAAGTTTGTGTAAAGTGCTGACACATAGACCAATACTAAAGGAGTTTTTTTCTTTGTTTTTATTGTGACTCTATCTCTGAACAGCATGTCAAAACAAGCAGACAGTTCTTGTCCACCTAAAGCTGCAGTATAAACCAGATTTAATAACCATTTGTATGATTTTATCTGCATTGAGCTTAATGTTAATTTGTGAATAGTGATAACTGACATGGTTCATTTTGTTTCAGGGGGAAGAAAGCTTTGAGCAAGAAGAAGCTAAAAAGGAGGCAAAAAGTCAAATCAAAAGTAAAAACAAGAACAAAGGTAAGACTGTCAATACTGTTTACTGCTACACTTTTGTTCTCCCATTAAAACTGTGAAGTTATATAGATTAAAAGCCATCTTTGGTAGCATAATTTCCATATTTACATTAGAATTTTGAAGAAATCTGCTGGAATTTGTATTTCTTTGTTAGACATTTACATTCCTTTTACATTTCATAATTTTAAAAGCATTAACATCTTTATCATCAATGTACCTTTTATGACTTCAATTAACAATGATTGTGTTACCAGCTTCTGTTTAAATTTTTCAGCTTGGCCATTATATATAGACTGCATCTGAAATGGCTTACTACTCAGTTGGTACTCCATTTGAATTTAAATGTACTACTCTGCTGTTAGAAAGTGCATTCTATACAGTATGAATGGGTGTAGTATGAATGGAACTCTGATGTACTAAAGTTGCCATTTTGTCATCATCATATGACCTACCCGCATCAGTTACAATGCTTCAATCCCATTTATGAATTCTTTTGCGGTACATCATGGGATAGCGTAGAGTCCATCCAATGCGTACTTCAGAATTCGGAAGCATTAAGTCGTCCAGGGTACTTCTCGCATACAATTTTTCGAATTCTATGAATTCGGACATACTACACGGATTGCTTACTGTTTTTAGTGCACTATATTGTGTAAATATGTGATCTTGGATGCAGCCATCGCGTTAAACTTCTGGAAACAATGATTTTGTTTAAAGTTTTGTTTATACACTATTGTGAGGTAGTTACTGTGTGACTATAAATTTAACCACTAAATAATATAAATTCATTACATTGAATCATTCATTCATTTTCCTTCGGCTTATTCCTTTATTTATAAGGGTAGCCAAAGCAGAATGAATCGCCAACTATTCCAGTATATGTTTTACAGTGTGGATGCCCTTTTAGCCGTAACACATACATTTATTACATGTGCTTACTTTATGGCTGGGGCTAGAATGTTGGTTATGTTTAGAGTTAGATATAAGGCTGGGCGATAAAATCGGTATCGATATTTATTGACCGTACACCATTATTAATATCGATTTAAAAAAAGATTTGGTATGTAGTTTCCTTATGAAGGCTTAAGTTTTAACAAAATGTGGCTACTGAGCACTTGCCTTGGAAGTAGTGCCAATAAGCTTATAGTATAAGTTTCCAATGGAGGCGTGCAACTTGCACGACGTGCGTATGGGAGTAAAGCACATATGTTGTGCAAGCGGTGCACATGAACTGCACACATTTTCCAGTCGCAACTAGTTAAAAAAACATCTTAAAGATAAAAAAAGATAAAGATAAAAAGATATTTACTGTTATCCGCCGTGCTGCTGTTACAGGAAAAAGAAGAAACACTGTGTTGTTTTTTTGTTTTGACTACTTTTAGATCATATAGAAATATATGTAATGTTCATTGTAGGAGGCAAAGCAAATACAATTCAGGTAGAGCGATGCAAACAACACACAAACAATGGTGTGACTATAATTGGTCCGGGTTAATGGGGACTTATTGGTTCCTTACTTTTCTTTTATTCCGCTGCGTACGCATCACTTTGGTTTCTTTTCTGCTCACTGTGCGCGAAACAATAACCACCATCAACCTATGAAAGTGATTGTAAATGCAAGAAAAATGATTTGTTGAAAATATTGTTCAGGACCAATAGTTAAACGTGAAATTTGCTTAAACTAGCGCATGGTGACTACTATCATGCATGCGCGCACACACAATCCACACAGCATTTGCTGCACTCATTCTCTCCCTCTCGGTCTCTCTCTCTCTCACACACAAACACACACATGAAGGTATTCACTGCGCACAAGGTAATGCCGAATCAATTAAAATATCGGAAAGAAAAATACAAATATCTGACATTTCCCAGAACAGGATCTGGCAAGATTCTGCTGAAATTAAACACTGATTTATATACATTTATATATTTATAATGTCTCGCTGAGCAGCAGCTTAAAAACACTTTTTTGAAGTGTTGTGAATGAAGCGCGCTGGGACGAATGTCCGCGTGTGCCTAATAGAAACGAGGCAGTTATCAGGCACGGAGGAAAACACTCCATGACAACACTGCTGTGACTTTCACTCACTGGGAAATGTTTCTCTGCCTGCATCAAGTCCAGCTGATGTCCCGCCCTCGAGAGCCATATACCCCACCGTGATTTGTGGGTTCGGTCAGCTCCACACACAAAACTGTAAAGTGCTATACATATCAAACTTGCGGGCCGCACTAAGATTAAGCTTTCAAATTAAAGGGGGGTAAATTAAATTAAATAAAATTTTTAAATTAAAGTTTTATTTAATTAATTGTAAGTTTGAGACCCCTGCTTTAACACTTATGTTTATTTTATTATGAGATCAGATATTTAGTTTAAATATTTTTGTTTTTGACTATTAAAATTATTTGCCTTAGTAATGTGGGTAAATTAAATTAAATTAGTTAAAAAATCCTGACATTCCTAAATGTATTGTTAAAAATATTCAATAATTATCAATATCGAATGATATGAAACATAATATCATGATTTTTTTTTTGCAATATCGCTCAGCCCTAGATATATGTAATTAATCATAATTCATTGTAATTACTATAGTAAGTGCATGGAACATGTGTAACTACATCACCTTGAAGTTTCTGCTAAAGTCTCTTCCATGAAGATCTATTCACACTAGCTGTTTGTATGGATATTTATTATCTTATTGCTTGTAAGCTGCTTTTAGTCGTCATTTGCGAAGATACCAGTAAACACTCGCACACATGGTGGAGATTGCGAGAGTGGCGAGGTCACGATTGGCTGTTGCTTGGCGACCCATGTGTTGCAGGTTACCATGGCAACAGCTTCCTCCATCTCCTGCACTGAGCACCTATGGTGTGCCTTGCAGCAGGGTTCGTCTCTCTATGTCTGCAGCATTTACCAGTGCTCAGAAAACAGGCACAGACCCAAAATGTCTCCTATTGGATGTTGCGTATTGTCATCGCATTCCCCAAAGCATATGTGGGGGTTAATGCCTGATTGTGTTTGGATATCCTTTCCCAGGCACTTTCTTTTCCCCGGTGGATGTGAGTGCTTCACAGGCAGGGGTAAGAGAGAATAATGTGATTGTAGATAGTGGAGAGGGGAATATGCAGAAATAATCTTCCAGCCTAAAACCCAGCTGGCTAAGGTGGAAAAAGCTCACATCTCTTTCTCCTTCTCTGCCTCAGCCTCCTTAAAAGGAGCTCGGTGCCTTTGTTTGCACACAAACAGATGGGTGGAGTTTCTCCAGCAGGGAGGGCTTGTCTGTCAATGTTGATGCGCTTCAGTTTGCTTTTGTTTGACGGATCAGAATGACTTTGATTTCTTTTCTGATATAGTACCAGACAGCTTCGTGATACTGATGGTCACTGTTTGTGCAGTGAAATGACATTAGCAAAATCATTCCAATATGCGGAGTTCCCACTGGTCATGGCATTTCTTGAATAGCATGGAGAACTTTTTATGGAAATAGGCTCATTTTACAAGTCACCTATCCTTTTTGAATCCATTCAACTGATCTCTGCATCTGGTGGGAGAACTTTTAGCTTAGCTTAGCTTTGCTTAGCTTAGCATGAATCGAGTTAGACCAGTAGCATCTGATATTTCTCCTAATTAAAGCTTGATTCTTCTGTAGTTATAACATGTGCTTAGACCAGCGTATTGATCAAGGAACTTTGCTGTCGTATCATGGGGCACAGCACTTGAAAATAGCCCTCATCTAGGTAACTAGGTAACCCTGCAGCAGCAAAGTGCCCTGATTATTATGCCGGAATGAGAGTGTACATCCTAGACATAGCCACCTAGGAAATAGCAACTTTTTTCTGTGGTTCTTAGAACACAATGTCACTACAGAGAGTCAAGCTTTAAATAGGATTTCTTTTTTTTTTGAGGGAGATGCTAATAGTCTAATCCAATTAAATGATTTATGCTAAGCTAACCTTAAGAAATTAACTGCATGGGTTCAAAACTGTTAAAGATATTACAATTTTTACTTTTGATTAATCAAAATGTAATTTTTCATAAATTTTTCATCAACTTAGAGTTGCCACAGCGGAATGAACCGCCAACTATTCCGGCACATGTTTTACACAGTTTAGTTACACTTTATTTTAAGGTGACAGTTAGTGTATGACTATTCATATAACTACTTAATAATTTAAATTAGTTTCATTCATTCATTCATTTTCCTTAGACTTATTTCTTTGTTTGTCAGGAGTCGCCACAGTGGAATGAACCGCCAACTACTATGGCAAATGTTTTTCGCAGTGGATGTCCTTCCATCCGCAACCCATAACTTCATTACAAGAGCTTACTATATGGCAGGGGCTACTAATAGCCTTGTGGGCAGTGTGCTGACATACAACACCATTGCTCTTTGGGCTTCCTGAGTTTGAGTCCCAGTTTGCTGTTCCCTATCCAATCTCAGTCCTTTCTCTTTAACTGTGTTTTCTCTTCACATATTGTCATATCCCAATAGCAAAAATGCCAAATGAATAATAAAAAAAAACACACACACAACTGTGTGAGGCGGCAACTGGCTGAGACATTAAACATTTAATAAAGTAATCAACAGAAACAACTGCCACTGAAAAAGAACCCAAAACCAAAATATAAAATGTCCCATGCTTTGCACTCTCTCGTTTTTCTTTGTGATCACTTCTTCTAGAGCTCTTATGAAGGAACAGTCATCAGCGGCCGTGCCACTGGCCTCACTCCTCTCCTATTGGCTCTCAGACATGCCCACTTGTAGGGCTGGGCGGTAAATCGGGTTCTGGGGATATATCGATATGAATCACCAAAGGGTTGCGGAATTATCCAATATCTGTCATATTAATTTGGTTTGAGGCCACATGTGCGCATTCTGCCCAAAATCGAGGTAGCACGTGAGCTCTACTTGCACAAATGTGCGCATGCGCAAATGAATGATTCACTCCATGAGTCATACAAAAAATTTGTTCAAAATGAACGAATCGTTCAAGAACGA